AACTGTACTTTTGCATTAAAAAAAAAAAAAAAAAGGTAACTATAGCCTTTTTTGTGCTGTGCTGTGCTGTGATGTGCCGTGCTGAAGCGCTTGTTAGTTCCAAACATAGGACCCCTCCGTCTGTATCATATCTGTAATCATTAATCAACGTTTAGAGCAGGCCCTCCTGGACGCGTAAAATCAACATTTTCCACCACACAAAACCTTGTAGGAGGCCTACCGTCCAAAGCACCTACCGTCTTCACCAGAATAGAACGCCCGGGCACGGTCATTATAGCAGCATTTGGTGCGACTTCCAGAGTAGATACAGCGATAATGACCAGGCGTTGTTCTATTCGGGTGAAGACGGTAGTCTCGAAAGCATTGAGCTCGGCAGCAGAAAATAAGAAATTTTCATTCGAAAAGTGGTGTCCTCCTGTAGGGCGTAGCACTTGGTGTCCTTCGGAACGTCTTGTTGTCCTTCCCAACATCTGTCAAAATTGGTACAATACCCCTTCGCAGCGTAAAATGCTGCGACCGGCACCATTTTTTTTTTTTTGTGTTGTCCTTGCCGACATCTTGTTGTCCTTGAAGATTAGCATGGCCGCTGCGTGCATGAATCACACACCTAACCCAAGAAATGGTCCAAACTTAAAAAAAAAAAAAAAAAAAAAAAAAAAAAAAAGAGTAGCCCTTGTTGGCGCTCATAGCAGGGAGATTCAGTGCAGCCATAGCCTGGCACTTGTGGCTATCTATAGTATCTATAGTATTATTTAAATTTACTTTCCATTCCGCAGGTGTGTAGTCAGGGAAGCTTGGCACTCGTGCACATAAATCAATTCTCTGTTACCTGAACCACTCTCTGGTGCTTAATAAATGGCTATGATCCGGACGTCTGGACCGCCATCCGGTCGGTCTGGATTGGGATGTCAGCGCCGACATCCGGTCTAGTATGTCCGAATGGGGCCAAAATATTGGTTGGGGTGGGAGGGGGGGGGGGGGGGGAGGGGGGGAGAGGGGGGAGAGGGGGGAACGGGAAGGAGGTTCGCCAGGACCCTTGGTCGCATTGAGGCCGAGCCCGGAAAGATGTCTTGGGCATATATGCAGCACATGCAGTGCGCACCCGCCGTGCTCATGTGGGGCATTAGCACAGTGCACGTGGCGCGTGCACTGGGTGCGCTGCACCCCTGGCGTAAGAGGGGGCGGGGGGGAGGGAATGTAGAGGCCGGTAATCGGCCCGACCCCTTTGCAGCGCAAAATGCTGGGACGGGCACCGATTTTTTTTTCCCGGGCCGCGTGCAGGCCCGAAGTCTGCTGTTGTTCGTCTTTTCCTCCCTCGTCCGCTGGCGCCGTTGTGCATCGTCCATTTCCTCTGTTGTGGGTAGTTTCTTGCCACCGTCCTTGTTGTTCTGGCATCCGCAGCGCACAGAGAGTGGTGCTTGTTGGCGTAGGCTATGCTGAGATTTCTTGTTAGCCCGTCTTCCCAGGCACCAGGGAGACAGGACAATCTGAGTGGTGCATTTAAAATTTTATAGACAATTACTAATTGAATGGTTAGCAATGATTAGAGAGAATGTGCTGGAATGGCTTGTCACTACGTACCTTTGCAGATTTCACTGAAGGATTGGCTGCTGAAGGAGGGATCGGGTCCTTCAGTATCTCACGGTGTGATTCTTTGTGACCAAACAGAATGGAATACCTGCAAGCATGTAACACATGGAATTGAATTAGAAATATTAAATTCAATTAAATTGAATTAATTGAATTTAGTAGAATATTGAATATAGCATAAGTTGCAATAACAGAATTTAATAAGATATTAAATATACCGTGACAAGTTGTATTGAATTGAATTGATCAATTAATTAATAATTATACACTAAGATAATCGGCAGGAAACTGACATATGTCTGCAATGACTTGCTGGTTCCAGGGTGCCTGTAGCCTCTCTCGGACGAGGCTGTACCATAGGTAGGGACAGATTCTTAATTTTGTTTGGCTGAGGGCTAGCCGAGAGACCTACCTGTAAGGAAAATTCGTGAGGGGCATATTTGCAAATATAGGAAATATGGGCCCAGTACTAACTCGAACTTCCTACAGCTACCCTAACTGCGAATATCAGACCCGGGATACCCCTAGGACAGACAGGCCCAAGGGGCCTACGCTGATAGATGGTCCTATAGCCTATAGCCGGGTAGGGAGAGGCCCTAAGGGCCGAAACAAAACGGTACCGGTCGGTCAGTCAGTCCGGTCTAGGTCGAGTCTAGGCTAGGGTAGAGTATAGATAGGTTGGAGAGAATCGGTCCAGGGCTTTTGGCAGTTGACACTTCGTGGTGGAAGTTGCTGCACACGCGGCATCAGGTCGTGGTGACTGATACATGCGTGGGAGACGGCGGACATAGCCAGACCTTCGCAGCGCTGACCAGACTGGGGTCAGCCTGGGGTCAACGCTGTCCGCTCTGACTCTCTGGGAGTCAAAGTGGTCTGGGCTTTCCGAGGTCTGATGCGTTGGAGCACGTGGTGCACTGCTGACCCTCCTCCTCAGGAGTAGGGTCCCAGTGGCGATGCAGGCATAGCTGCATCTTCTCCGAGATTATCATCGTCTGGACTCCATCTTCATCAGCGACCGTTGGTGCTGAGATTCTTCTTCATCATCCTCTCCGTCGCGATTGGCTCTTGGAGCCTGTTTCATCTTGGAGCAGGCCACTGAGTTGGATGTCAGGGTGGTGCTGGGTGTTACCTTGGCTTCTGGTGCTATTTTTAGCTGTTCGGTGTGTGTGGGGTTGACGCGCTACCCCTCTGAGGGTAGCGCAACAGGTTTCTGGAATTCTGAGGTTATTCAGTGAAAACGACGCTCCGAGTTTAATAAACAGTCGTAAGACTGTGTTCGAGTTGTCACCTCTTCATTGATTTCTGGCTGTGATCTCTCGGTTGTCTTCTATGAATGATTGTTGGGACTGTTGTGGAGAGAATCCACTGTGTTGTGTATTCTGCCACTTCGCTGTTCTGAGTCTTCCGCTGCGTTCCTTTTGTTGGGCGGTGTGACACTCCACTACCTCTCCCCTTTCTTCTGTGCATGTATGGGCGTGTACGGGAGTTCCTGTGAGTGAGCGTTGACAAAATTTCAACGGACAATCATGTTCATAACATGTCTGTGTAAGATCCGCAGAGGCTGCATGTGTAAGAGTCCAAACAAAAAAAAAAAAACAGTCAAGTCACATTCTGGATGATAATTGATCAATTGGGTTGTTTGGAATCACTGCTAAATTGTTGGGCAAAATAGAAAATTGAATACGTTAGTAATCTAGCTTTCCACCCCGGGCGCCCGGGCCACCCCAGGTCGCCCGGAAGGGCGCTCGGGGCACCGAGCCGTGCGACCCCCCCCGCCAGGCACCCGGGCCCCCTCAGCGCCGCCGCCAAAAACCGCCGAAAAAAAAAAAAAATGCGCCAGGGGCCTATGGCCCTGAAGGGGGGGGAAAAGAAGGCGGTGGCCGCAAAATTTTTCGGGGTCCGGTAGGCCCCGTTTCATGTTTTTTTTTTTTTTTTTCCCGCCTAGGCCGTTGATCTGCATTGATCGACGGCGCCGAAGTCCTGAAATTTTGATTTCGAATCTCGGGACTTCGAGCGTGGCTCTGTGCCCTCCGCCAGACTACTTCCCACGCTAGTTTGTCGTCGCCTTGCCGTCGTTGTCCTCGCCATCGTCGCCGTGCCGTGGTCGTCTTTGCCATCGGCATCGTTGCCCTGCCGCCCTCCTGCTGCGCCATCGTCATCGCCCTCCAGCCACACCATAATTCTGGCCCTCCATTCCACGCCATCGTTATCTTCTTCTTCCTCCTCTTCTTACTCTCTTCAGTTCTTCGTTTTCTTTTTATTCTTCTTTCGTCTTTCCTTCTTCTTCTTCTTCTTCTTCTTCTACTTCTAGTGCTACTACTTCGTCCTCTTCTTCTTCGTGCTCCGCCATAGCGCTTCTTCTTTCACCTCTTTGATCCGCCATAGCGGTTCCCTCTCTCCTCCCTATTCCTCCGTCAGTCTCCCTCCCTCCACATAGTCTCCCTTTCTCCTTCCTCCGCCATCTCCTCCCTCCGCATCAGCCGCCCTCCATCCACAGTCTCCCTCTTGCCCCCATCCTCCATCAGTAAACCTCCCTCCGCATACTCTGCCTCTCTCCTCCTCCGCCATAGCTCCCTCTCTCTTCCTCCACACCAATCTCCCTTCCTCTGCCATAGTCTCCCTCCCCCCTCCTCCTCCTTATCAGTCTCCCTCCCTCCTCCTCCATAGTCTCCCTCCCTCCTCCTCCATAGTCTCCCTCCCTCCTCCTCCATAGTCTCCCTCCCCCCTCCTGCAAAACGGACAACCCCTAATCTACCCGCTCCTGCACCCCCTTCCCCTACCCCCCACCCCTCCCCGACACACTGAAACCGATATGCATGAAAAAAAAAACAATGAGGCCGGATTTGGGGAGTATTAGGAGAGCACAGCAAGGCCCGACAGACCAAAAAAAAACAAACAAACATTTCAGTGGATTTTTTTCATGCCCGGGGTACCCCGGGCGAGGCGCCCGGGGCGCCTGGCCGGGCGCCTGGCGTCCCGGGAAAGCTAGTTAGTAATATAACAAAGGGGAAAAGACAAAAAAGAAGGAAAATTGAGTTTCTGGCATTACCTGCGAGAATGAAAAGAGTAGGGGTGTTCTTCGCAACATCCATTACAATTGGGAATGAGAGAGAGATTTCTTATTATTTTATTATTTTTCTAATTACAGCTGTCTTTCTCCTCATATGGGGTGCATTTGTATTTTTGACTGCCCTATTTTCTTATCTCAATACATCTTTTCACTGACTATCCATACCCATATCTATCTCCTACCCACAAACCCGACGTAGCTACCTATGGATCACGGAGAGAGACAACTAATGTCTATTCGCTAAGCCACCTTAAGAGCGATGGGTTGAGCCTATCCTCTTGGGGTTCACTCTACTCTACTCTGCTGTATGTGGGGCGCAGTGCCCAGGCTCCCAACCCCTGGCGGTGGATGGCGGGGAAGGCATACCCCCCAAGACTGCATAGGAGGAGACGGACTATCTTAGCCGGCGAACCAGCTGTGCCTCAGAAGGACACGGGGGGTCAAAAGAATGCCGTGGGGGAATCGAACCCACGACCTCCTGAATACCACGTACGTGCTCAACCAAACCGAGCTAGGCCGCTGGCCTCTCTCCTGGACGTTTTTCACATCCATCAGGGATCAGATTCAGAGCCCAAAGTCCTATTGTGATGATGGCCTTCTCGACTAACGGTAGCAGGGATGACTGCATCTTTTGTAATGAACCGCCATAACACAGACTGATAACACTACTGATTTCTGAGTTCTGCCGATGGAATGGATGCCTTGCTGAGATTCCCGCATTCTGCTGAGTTTTTTAAGTCTGTGTGTGTGCGTGCTTGGTGACCTGCGTGCCTGTCTGAGTGCTTGTCGGCACGAGTGTCCGTGTGACCCGCAAGGGTACTTGCTTGTTTGGGAGGCCCGTAGGGCCGGTACTTTACCTGTGGCCATGATATTGAGGGTTGCAGCAAGGAAAACACTCAAGCGGCGGAGCAAGAGGCGTGCGGCACTTAGAGCAGCGGGAAAACACTCAAGTAGCAGGTAGGCCGGTATTGCACCCAGTAGAAGTAGACGAGCAGCGGGAAAACACTCGAGTAGCAGGTAGGCCGGTACCGCACCCAGTAGAAGTAGATGTGCCGGGTACTCGAGGCCGAGCAGAAGAAGACAAAGTTGGCATTTCTAGAGGCCCAGTAGCAGTAGAATAGGTCTAGGCGGGTACCAGCCCATCCAGTCTGAGTCTAGGGCCTGTACGGGCAATATCAGAGTCTTGCAATGACGTTTCCCTCCGAAAGGGAGGAGGTACCGGTTGCCTGGGAGGCCGAGCGGCCTGGAAGTCACCGCCCAGGAGGCAAGTAGGCTGCTATATTGTGAGGCTGAGGGAAGAACCCAGCCTCATTCTTCGGTGTGCAAGTTTGGGGACACACTGCTGGAGCGCTGGCTGGAGGAGCGCTGGGTACTACAGTGCTGCTGGGAGGAAGAAGACCGGGAGCTTCCACCTTGGCTATGGTGGAGCTCTACCAGTAGGAGGAGGAAGAAGAGGACTGAGGAGGAGAGTGGCAAGGTATCTACCTGGCTATGGTGGACACCATCTTCATCACCTTGTTAGGCGCGGCATCTGGAAGGCCCTAGTTGGGGTAGTGCCGCATCAAGGAAGCCCGGGGCATAGTCAGGCATGGCGGCTGAATGGGCAGCGCCATAGCTGCTTTGTGTTGACCTTGGGACAGGAGGGCAGCGACATAGCTGCTTTGGGTTGTCCTTTGGACTCCGCCATAGCCTCAGTCTACATGAAGAGGAAGAGGAAGGGCGCCCATGGCTATGGTGGACCTCATGTTGTGCCTGCAGTAGAAGAGGGATTCGGACATTGATTCTGTTTCAGCCATTCAACATTATTATTGTTATTTCTTGTTTGAATGAGAGGGGAGGGGATAAGGAGGGGGAGAGTGGTTGGCGAAAAGAAGAGCATTGTCATTGATCTATGCTCTTTCTTCTTCCTCTTCTTCTTCCCTCTGTCTCCTCTCAAGTTCATTCATTTCTTTTTGCAATTGGACGGCATTGTGCTTCCTGGTGAATGTGTACTTCGAAATTGGCCAGGATCGTAACAC